ATCCATTTCTTCTTGATTAAGTCTAGGGAGATGGTGTAATTCCAGGTATTGGTCCATTTCCTCTACATTGTCATATTTCTCATCATAGAGTTTCTTGTAGTAGTCAGAGATAATCTCTTGGGTCTCTGTGATATTGGTTGTTATGTCCCCGTTTTGTTTATGATTTAGGTTATTAGTGATTTTACTTTTCTGTTTCTAGTTTATCTGGCCAAGGATAAAATTCATTTTGTTTAACTTTTAAAGAAATTTTCATTTTGTTGATTTTCTGAATGATTGATTCTTTTGTTTTCAGTTTAATTTATTCCTGATTTATTTTTTTTCCTGCTGGTTTGGGATTGGAATACACTTCCTTTTCCTTAAGATGATTTATTATGCTATTGATGAGCTCTCTTTCTGTTTCAGATGTAGGCATCTAATGCAATCAATTTCCCTATTATAACTAGTTTTGCAATATCCCACAAATTTTGGTAGCTTGTAGCTTCATGGTTGCTATGTTTGAAGAATGTAATAATTTCCTCCTTTATCTCTTCCTTGACCCAACTGTCATTCAGCATAACGTTGTTTAATTTCCATGCCTTTCTGTGGGGAGAAAGTTGATGGAGTTGAGTTTCACCTTTGGTGCCTTATAGTCTGAGAATGTACACAGTATAATTTCAGTTCTTCTGGAGTTGAGTTTCACTTTTGGTGCCTTGTAGTCTGAGAATGTACACAGTATAATTTCAGTTCTTTTTATTTTTTTAATATAATCTGTTTTGGAGCATGTTTCATGGGCTAACAAGAAGAATGTATATTCCTTAGCTTTGGGATGATGTGTTCTGTATCTGTCTAGTAAGCCCATTTGTTCTAGGGTCACATTTAGGGCCCTTATATCTTTGCTTAGTTTCTGTTTAGAGGACCTGTCAAGTTTTGTCAGAGGGGTGTTAAAGTCTCCAGCTATCATGGTGTTATGGAATATCATAGTGGTCAGACCTGTTTCATAAATCTAGGAGCATTTAAATTGGGTGCATAAATATTTAGAATTGAAATGCCCTTTTTTTTTGTATTGTTCCCTTATCCAATATGAAGTGATCATTTTTATCTTTCTTAACTTTAGTTGTTTTAAATCCAAAGGCATCTGAAAACAAGATTGCAATCCCTCCCTTATTCTTATTTTCAGTTTTCTGAAATGTTGTTTTCTAACCCTTCACCCTGATTCTTGTTTTGTCCTTCGAGGTTAGGTATGCTTCCTGGACATATCATATAGATGACTTGTGCTTTTTTTTTTTTCAATCTGCCAGCCTTTGCACCATTGTGGAAGCTAGGTTTTGTCCTTTTGTTTCTGGGTGTTTACTTTGCTGGCAGTCCACTGTGATGTTCAATGTGGATAGGACAATGTATAGAGCTGGTCCTGTGGCAAATTTCTTCAAGGTTTGCATATTAATAAAAGTTTTGATTTCTCCATTGATTTGGAAGCTTAGTTTAGCAGGATACAGAATTCCAGGCTGAATTTTTTGTTTTTTTTTTTTAAGAAAGTTAAAGTTAGATGACTTTTTCTTTTCTGGCTTGGATAGTTATAGCTAAAAGTCCTCTGTCACCCTGATGGATCTGCTTCTGGAGGCTAATTAGTGCTTAGTTCTGGTTGCTTGAAGAATTTTCTCTTTCATCTTGCCTTTGGACAGGTTCATCACAATGTGTCTTCAAGATGCTCTATTCATCTTGAAATGACCCAGGGTTCAATATCCTTCCAAAAGGAGTGTTTAGGAATCTTTTGTAAAACTTGGGAAGTTTTCATTTATGATATCCTCCAGTAGAGCTTCCATTCCTTTGAGACATTCTTCCCTTTCAAGGATCCATGTAATTTATATATTTGAATGCTTCATGAAATCCACAATTTTCTGAGTAACTATCCTACTTTCTTTTTCTTTTATTCTGTCTCTTTAACTGTCTGTATTATCCTCTAATTCTGAGATTCTTTCTTCTCCATGTTGTAATCTGTTATTAATAATCTACCGTATCTTTAGGTTCCCTGATTGACCCTTTCAAGTTATTTAGCTCTGCCATATACTTTCTATATCTTTTATATCTTTATGTCTTTTATCCATTTTTGGTTCTGTTTTTCCACATTCTCATCAACTTCCATTATTGCCTTTATCATCCATGTTTTAAATTCCCTTTCTTTCATTTCTATAAAATCAGTATAGGTGGAATCCTCTGCATTGGCTACCTCACAATCTCTTGGAGGTGTGGCTCTATTCTAGGTTTTCATGTTGCCAGAATTTTTCTGCTGGTTCCTCTTCATGTGAATATTCTTCTTGTTCTCTTCCTTCACTTATTTTTTTACTCTCAGTGCTTCTTTTGCTTTAAATTACTTTGTCTGTGAGCTTAGGTATTGAAGTGGCCTTTAAGTATAAGGCCAAAAGAGAAGAGAAGGGTAAAGAGCAAGAAGGGAGAAAGAAAAGAAGAAAATACAGAAAAAAAAGAAGGTAAGTGAAAGGAATGAGTTGAAAAAAAGGAGGGAAAAAGGACAGCAGGAAAGAGAAAGACAGGAGCAATGGTGTTTGATAGAGTGCATTGACCCTACAGATAACTCCAGGATTTTGGGGGCTGGGCTTGGTGGGATCCTCTAGGTTAGGATCTTACCAGCCTGAGCAAACATAATACCCACCTCTGCCAAATATAGAAAAATATCAACAGTGGGGATCTACCAATATGAACTTTCCAAGTGCCGGAGCTAGAAGAACACCCTTTAATATGAGTTTATGGCCTCTTTCAGCCAGACCAATGCTGTGAATCCCTAACCAAATCAATGCCATGATCCCCAGTCCTAATATAAAAGAAAAAAATAATAAAAATAAAGAAAATTAAAAATACAATCATATAAACTTAAGAAAAAAAGGGATATCTTAGTTATTGTATGAGAAATTTATGTGGATAGGATGAGAAAAGTAGAAAGACCTCTACTAAAACAGAGAAATGAAAAAGAAATAAAGAGTAAGAGGGACTGAAAAACTTTTACCAAAATAGAGGAGCCTTTGCTATTGAAGCAAGTAAAAATGAAAAAAATAAAAATACACTCAAACCAACCAAACCAAACCAAACAAAAAAACAGCAGTAGTAACTATAGCAACAACAACAAAAATTATGGGAAAAGATTGGGAAAGAAAGCAAAAAAAAAAAAAAAAAAAAGGAGAGAAAAATATATGTGTGAACATATATATGTACATATGTACAATTAAATACATGCTATTTTTCACTATATAATTTTTGGAGACTGGAAACCTGTCTCCAGTTTCATAGCACACTTGAACCTCTCCTCCTGATGTACTTTTCCCCAATCAGGGTCTGGTCACTTTGTCACCATTCATTGCCCCTGGGGTTAGGATTCCAAAGTTCTCACTACATCTCTCAGGTGGCACATCTTGACATTTCAAACAGTGCCTACTGATGACAAAGTGGTTTTCTCTGGGTGGTGGGTGCTTAGCCCACCCCAAGTTCAGCAGGCATGCCAGAACCAGATGTACAATAGGACCCTGTGAATTATATCTCCGATGCATCTTACCCACAATGGTGTCCTGCTCATAGCCAAAGAGATGGGAGCATCACCCCACCTGGCACTCAGTCTTGGTCACCTGACACTGCTTAAGTTCCTTTGCTCATTTGCTCCCCCTCCAAAGCATCCAGGGAGCAATCCAGCCCTGAAACAAAAACTTCAGGACAGCCCTTTCCCACTTCATCTGCCCATACCCTGACACCTGCCTTCTGTGTTGGCTTTCCTCAATTCCGGAGCACCTCATTGGTTCCTGGCATACCTGCTGCTTCACTGTAACACTAGAGTGATGTTTCTGAATAGGTTCACCTAGCCAGATGTGGCCAAAAGCCTCTGTTCCCTGTTTTACTGAGAGCAGCTGGCAAGATGTCTCTAGTCTACCATCTTGCTCCACCCTCCTGGAATTACAGTTTTAAACATTTTTATAGTACTTGTGCTTTGTTTCAGAGAAAAAAATTAAAATAAGTCAATAAATGTGGCATATACACTGAAACTTAAAGGGAGAATAGTTAGTAAAAATTTTACTTCGGCAAAGTAGACATGAAAATTTACATTTTATGTAGTCAAGCCTAATAAATTGATTAATCATTTCTCACTGTACTACTGAATTTGGAGTCAAATTCAAATGTTAGTGTATTTTAAATAGTCATTTTTATAATCATGAAAAAAGCTCTCTGCCTTCTCATAATTTGCTACTTATGTTTTATATTCTGTTTACCATCCATATTTATAATCTTCTACATTTCAAAATTTAGAGAGTGGTTTCAGAAAATTAATTTCATAAAAAGTAAAGAAAAGCACACAAACAAAAAAGAATTTAGGAAAAAATGTTTCTGTTTTATCCAAAATACTTTCTTCAACTGGTATTTTCTTATCATTCTTGGATCTATCAATTGTAATAACAAAATCTTTGGATAATAAGTATATTAATGTTTATAAAAATAAAAATTTTGGGCAATGCCTATGGCTCAAAGGAGTAGGGCATTGGCCCCATATGCTGGAGGTGGCAGGTTCAAACCCAGCCCTGGCCAAAAATTGCAAAAAAAACAATAAATTAAAAAAATAAATAAATAAATAAATTTTAAAAAATAAAATGAAATAAAAAATAAAAATTTTACTGTTTTTATTGGTTCTTAAAGCCTTTATCTTACTGTTTTTATTTAAATGCAGTCTTTCAAGAGTGGCAATGAAAATTATAATCAAAACAACCCTTGAATAAAAGAAATTATTTTACTTATGCCATCAACCATATGTTTTTCTGTTTGTTTGTTTTGCCTGCCTTTATTTATTTATTGTTTTAAGGTCAACCATATTTTTGAATATTATTACTGTAAGGTATCTTTCTCTGACAGGTAAAATCTAATTAGCAAAGTTATCTTTTTAAAAACTGACTGTAGTAAAGCAACGTCTGTCTTTATTTTCAATACTATGAAGTTTTTAATTAACAGAAAACCACCATGGGTTGCTTCTTTAGAATACCACTAAATGTTAGAGACATCGTCTACTGTACAGGAGTGTCACTACTGGATGAGGATGTCTGGGAATTCATATGGATGAAATTCCACTCTACCACAGCAGTTTCTGAGAAGAAAATATTACTGGAAGCCTTAACTTGCAGTGATGACAGAAATTTATTAAATAGGTAGGTCAATTCATTTTTAAAATTTATTCTGTGTAATTAAAATATTCTCTGTTAATTCAAACTGCTCTGAAGTTGCTTTTATTTTCCTGATCATATGTTGGTTATCCTAAAATGTATCTCTAAAGACAAGGAAGACTGCCGTGGAACATGACTAAAGCTACCTGAGCGATTATATCTTTTTAATAAGTTATTTTTTGTAAGCTATACACATGTGTAAAAAAACATTTTATTTTAAGAGGAAGTGTTTACTATAGAGAATTGTAAAAGAGAATTTGCATCATCAAATAAGAATTACAATTTTTCCATTCACAAGACTTTTTGGAATTGAGTTAATGGATTTAATTAAAATGAGTTTGATCTTGCTTCTTTCATAAACAGAAATTTGTTCTAACAAATTTATATTAGTAAAGTTTGCATTGTGTTACTCTTCTGAAGAATAAGACAAACTAGATCATATAATTTTATAAGATTATAAAAATGTTTTAGTATTAGGCTAAAAATGTCTCCATGATTTTATCTTTGTAGACTTCTAAATCTGTCTCTGAATTCGGAGGTGGTGCTAGATCAAGATGCAATTGATGTCATAATCCATGTAGCTCGAAATCCACATGGTCGAGACCTTGCTTGGAAGTTTTTCAGAGATAAATGGAAGATATTAAATACCAGGTAGAAATAATAATTCAATCATTTATACTTGAATTAGTAAGTTCAAGCTGACATGAAAGAAATAAAGGCCCAAGTTTTATGTTACAGATAAGTTCCGTATAATAGGATTAGACATTAAAATATTCAACCAATATGGGTATTGGCGTGCTTATAAAACCCAGAATTATTTTAATGATTCTATAATATTATTCGTATATTAAAGATTGATTTTCTTACTAATTGTGTGTAGAAACATGGGAATTGCAAAAGGTTTAGCCATACAACTTTTCTGGAGAATGCATCAAACTGTCCAAAGTTGAAGAAATCATACCCTAAAACTCTGTGTATCTTTGACATGTTATAGAAAAAATAATTTATAAATCAGATATAATGATATTATAACACAAAAACTTTACTTCTGTAGTATTGCCATAAGTTTTCTTTAAACATGAACATCCATCATAAAATGCCTGAAGTAGGTCTGGCTCAGTAGCATACACTTGTAATCCTAGAAATCTGGGAGGCCAAGGTGGGAGGATCCCTTGAGCTCAAGACCCACAGGATTTAGACCAGCCTGTGCAAAAACAAAACCCCGTTTCAACTAAAACTAGCTGGGCATTGTGGTGGGCACCTATAGTCCCAGCTACATAGTAGGGTGAGGCAAAAGGATCTCCTGAGCATAGGAGTCTGAAGTTGCTGTGAGCTATGATGTCACAACACTGTCTAGGGCAACAGAGTGAGACTCTGTCTCAAAAAAAATAAAAAAAAGAAAACCCTAAAACAAAACTGTGATGTAGAGAAGGAACATTAATCATTTGAGTCTATGTAGGATTCCAGGTGCAGTAAAATTTATTCCCAGGACATCTTGTTTCATGGTAAGAATCCTTTAGCCTCAATTTTAGAAAATATTCATTATGTATTTAAATATATTATAATACATGCTAATTTATTATTCTGATCATCTCTATGGTCTTTGAAAATTAAATTTATTATAGAGCATGTGGATGCTTTATGTTTTTCCCTGACTTAAATATTCCCAGATAGTAAACAGACCTATGGTTATTTCTCTTAAAAGCTGATATATAAACATTATTATTTTAAACATACCTTTATCAGTTGCCCTGGTATAATGAGTTTAATTGAAATGGACCTATCATATTAAGATGATATGATATTATTTCTATCTATAGAAATATGCCTTAATATGATAGAAATATTGGTAGAAAGCACAGATATTCCTATGAAATTTGTTGACTTTTTTTTTATATTTTTAGTTCAGAACTTAGAATAATTGGAACATTAGAGCTTGTTTTGTTGTTATGGATATAATTGGGTGAATAGTCAGACATTTAAGGTAAAATTAATGTATACAAACATTTCCCTTAAAAAATATCAAATATCTCCCAATACACAGAGTTTCTTTAAGGTTTTGCAGTTCAGAGTTCAATGCGATGTGTGTACATTTATAGGCATATGTTGTTCATTGCTTACCAAAAATTGTTTGGTTCCTGGCATGCCGATTTTATCTAATGAGAGTATGATCTCCAACCATAGTAGAAAGATTGTTGTTTCCACCCATCTACCAATATGACAAGGTTTATGTTGAGACATAGGAGCGTCTTTGTCTGGTATTACTCCTGTCTCAATCTGTGAATGTTGCAGTTCATGGGGGCCCTTCCAAGGTTCTCTTTTCTCCCTGATTCTAATTGGAATCTGCTCTCATGGTTTCGGCCACTCTCAAATCCAGGTCTCTAACTCAGACATCTCACCTAAGCGTGACCCTGTGATAGATAACTGTCCACGGAGGTCCCCTTCTGGAGTGTGCATGCAAAACTAAATCTGTGATTTTACCCCTAACCCTTACAGTGATTTGAGCAATCAATCACTCAAACCAAATTCTGGGAAGTCTACACAGTCTTCCCTCTTACCCTGGCTAGATAGACTATAATAGTTAGGCTTGAGGTCTTGGCAGTTTAGCAGTTCCTAAGTGTTTCTTGAATTCTTCTCACTTTTCCTCTGCCCCTTCTAGTGCAGGTTCTCACTTCCTGCCAGTACTTGGCAGTAGCCTTCTGACTCTCTGCTCTGTAATTATACTTCCACTGTACAGTACACATCAGCCTCTTCCCTTTCTCCCTGGAATCTTTCTGAAAGGCAAATGTGTTTTCCTTGTAAAACTTTCAGTGGTTCTATGCCACACTTGTGAGTTCCTTGATATAGTGTCTGCATAAGTCCCCTGCCTTCTGTTTCCATCCCCTGCCTCACAATCTATGCCCTCTTGACACTGACTACTTATATTTGCACACTCCACACTGTTTCATACCCCCTTGCCTTTATTTATGTTGGTCTTTTGCCTAAAATTACTTTCTTTCCTGTTGCTCAGAACCACTCCACACTCAGTCTAGACAACAGCAGCTCCTGGAAGCCATCTCAAGACCCCACAGCTGGCTTGGTGCCTGTGGCTCAAGTGGCTAAGGCGCCAGCCACATACACCTAAGGTGGCGGGTTCAAATCCAGCCCGGGCCCGCCAAACAACAATGATGGCTGCAACCAAAAAATAGCCAGGCATTGTGCTGGGCACCTGTGGTCCCAGCTACCTGGGAGGCTGAGGCAAGAAACTCACTTGAGCCCAGGAGTTGGAGGTTGCTGTAAGCTGTGATGCCATGGCACTCTGCCCAGGGTGACAGCTTAAGGCTCTGTCTCAAAAAAAAAAAAAAGAGCCCACAGCTAAAGAGACCTTCTGAGCACTGTGTATACTTTTATCAACACTGCATTTAGTCACATTAACTGTAAATTATCTGTTTATATGTCTATCTTTTCAATTAGACAGTATAATACCTTCCAGGAAGGGATTGCGTATTCATCTTCATGTGACAGTATAAGTAGAAACAACTGCCACCCTCTTAAAAAAGAATTACTTTTTTCTAGATAGTAGGCCACTTTGTAACTACATATGATGTCTGATAAGTTCACAGAAAAAGTGCTATATACTTCATTGCTAAATATCACCACGGTCACTTTCGAAGTACTCCCCCTGGGAAGCTATGCACCATCTAGTGCCTAGTCTAGGCTTCAAAGCGCTTTTGGAGTTCTTTTTCTGGAATGACCATCAGAGCTGTTGTCAAAAGGCTCACAAAACCACACAGCAACAATAATGAACGCCACTGAGCAAGACCCCGAGTGTCAATGTGAGCACAGCTGAGAGAGGCTGATACGTCAAGGCTATGAAACCTACTGAGTTCTCCACACAGCACAGCCAGCATAAGCACACGGTACATGTTTGCAGACTTAATTGTCAGACTCTGTAAAATGACAGCTGGCGGTCATTCTAGAAAAGGAGCACCAAAACTGCTTTGAAGGGGAGACTAAACTGGCTTTGGTGCGTAGCTTCCAGGGGGCCTAATTCAAAGGCGACCACAGGATATTCTCAGTGAGGTGTGCAGCAATTTTTCTAGGCTGAGTTCACAAACTTAATTTTCACAACTCACACTGATTACTCACAATCATTTATATTTTTATTGAATACTTGTTTGTTTGCTATTACTTAGTTAATTTTTGTCCCATGAAACAGTTAAATGTTAGATTGATAACAAATCACAGTGGTCCCCCAGGACAGTCCCCTTATTTCATAGATAAGAAAACAAAATTCTTCAGAAGGTAAATTACTTAAGATCCCACAAGTTAGTGAAACCTCTCATAAAAGTGTCTGGATCTTTGCTTCTAAAGATCCAGAATCTTATTTTGATGTACTTATCTCAGTTCTAAGCGTATGGTAGCCTGTGATAGTTTATCCTTACCATAGTAGCAAAAATCAGTAAAATGAGAATTCTTTCCAACTCACTTGGCACAAATTATTCCTTGCCTGTATTAAAAGTCAAGTAACTGTGTATGTGGCACACAAACAAACTCAAATGAACAAATATGTATTTTATTTCAATACCCACATGAACAAAATAGCTAATATTTTGGGTAGAATTTTTGAGAAATTTGGCTCAGTTTCTAGGAATGAGATAGGAAAATGAAAATGTCAGTTATGCCTGAGGGGACCAAAGGTCGGGTGTGACATACTGACAATGCCCGGGTCCGTCTCACAGTCCTTTCTTTGGTTGTGATCCCTTTCCTTAACAGTGAACCAGGTTACTTTATAGTTGAAAATTTTTTAATATTTATTTTTCACAGTTTTGGCTCAGAAATTTGCTAGTAGCTTCTAAATTTGATGTTAGAGACCCTTCTTTATAAAAAATTACTACAACTTAGACTTCTCTGAACCACTAAGAACCAGGACAAGTGACATCTCATGGTATCCCATTGTCATACCTCTCTTCACCCCTATAATTCCCTAAAGAAAACTGCCTTGAAAGCTCAAAGATCTGTCAACTTCTGACAGATGGAATCTTTGAAAAAAAACTCTAAGAACTCTTTATAGTAATATTTGGTTTAAATTACTACCTGTATTAACAGTAGGACTTTTCTTATCTTCTAAGGTATGGAGAAGCATTATTTATGAATTCCAAACTAATAAGTGGAGTCACAGAATTTCTTAATACTGAAGGTGAACTCAAAGAGGTAAATATTTTAAGATGAACTCTAATCCTTTTCTTTTATAAGCATACGGAATTATTTCTTTCCAGCAGATTCACATCCATCCCTTTTAGACACACACATCCATACACAATGCATCCTCGTATTGAAGACTTAACTCAACTCATTATTTGCATAGATATTTCTAACCTATCAAACATTGAGTGCTTGCAGAAAGTAATTGAATGTAATAATTTTCAAATCTGGAGATACAAAATTCATTTTAGAAATCATTGAGCCAGTCACCCTCTCTTCAAATAATTCTATGAATCTAGTTTAGAATTCACTCAACACCATACGCATCCCATCCATGACTCAGGACGTGTATTTATATGAATAACTGAGGTTGGTGCTGCAGTCCAGAACGTGAGTGTTGCTGCTTTATGCTTAGTCCTAAAGTGGATGGCCGGATATAATGGTAATGCTCTATGCTATCTAGCTTGTAAAATGAAACAAATTCTTATGCATAAAGGGAGCATATGTAGCCATACATATTGATATTAATGTTATAGTTTGTTTCAAAACTCTGCTTGGTACAATCACAATGGAATTTCATTCATGAAAATAACCCTGGTTTTTTAAAGGAATATTATTGAGTATGGGACATTTCCTTTTTACGTTACTTTAGGTTTATTTTTCTGGAAATTTAAACCAGCTAGGTTTGGGGGTTAGTGCTGTTCTTTAGTTTGTTTTACCATTAACTCACATCGCTGAGATATGATGGATGAGGAATAGGGAAGGGCAAGTAGGCAGGAAAGAAGAACAAGCCACGGCTGCTTTAGTTTATTACAGCGAGTCGGGCTTCACGTAGCTATTGCCTTTTCCTCTGCTGCTCTTTTCCATTATAAAATACAGCTGATATTTGGCTTTGAGAATCATGCCTTGTTCAGTTTTCACTGACAGAACGCCTTATGCTGCGACCCAGAGATAATCCCAGTGAACAGCGTTCACCTAGCAGCATCTACCCTGGCGCCATCCTTAATGTCTTCTAAGAGCTCTCTGTTTCCTATGATCATCCCCCCTGCACTAACTTGGATTCTTTCACACAAGAGCTAAGCTAAGCTAAGTCTCTGATTGTAGTGATTTGAAATTCAGCTTTTATCCCTGCTCTGTGCGTTCCCAACCCTAAAGGATTTAGGTTTGAAAGCCCCAGAACACTTTTTATTCTATTCTATTAATAAAGGAAGCTAGATGGAAAGGACTTTTTTTCATATCCATAGGAAAGAGAAAGTAAGAGCAATTAAATTAATGATTCCTTCCAATTTTCTCTGTATTTAAATGAAGTACTTTTAATTTCATAATTTTACCTACAATAATCTGAGAATGAAAGACTTCAGTCCAAACCTGTGCAGCCGCTGAGCTGAACAGAGAAGGAAGTCTCCCCCTTCCTTCCCTCCCCGCTTCCCTTGTTTTTGCTCCCTTCATCCTCCCCTCCCTCCCCTCCTCCCCACCTCTTTCCTGTTGCCTCTCCATTCCCCCTTCTTCCCTCTTTCCTCTCTGTCTGTCTTTCATATTTTCCTTGATTTAGTAATACCCAGGCCATGGGGGAAAAAATCTTTTAAATGACATTTGGTTGATTTTATCACACAATGACCATTTTGTCTAACATATTTCACTTAAACATTTAATTTTTACACGTTATTTAACTGCTATTTTGGATGTTCCAAGGTGTGCCTAGCATGACAGGTGCAATTCCAAAACTAAAACTCAATTGTGCCTTTTACTGTCTTGTCTGCAAAGCAGCCAACTTCACAGGGCAGACCCTCGGTGGAATGAGTGGTGAATTCCTTCACTAAGAGTTCCTTGCTCTGACTGTGGTTTTTAACAGTGGCTGCCTGGAGCTTTTTGATACTCTCATCATCTAATCATTGCCTATAGGGCTGAGGAGCAACTCTTGTCTGGTGGGGGGACTTCGGTTTGTGTTGACAATAACTTCCTTTTCTTAAAAAGCACGGGCTAAGAAGCATTCATTATCATTCTCCCGTAACTCATGAGCCCCGTAAGTAGAAAATCCAATGTTTTTCCTTTAAATAGGCCATATTCTCATCTCTAAAGGTGTATGGATCAAAGGGGAATCAACATCTTTATGAATACTGAAAACTTCTTTGAGAGTGCCCCCTTTAGGTGCACTTAGTAGAGACATTTCCATATGCTCCATGGGCCCTTCCCCAAGACTACATTCTGGAACCTGAAATGGGGATTTCCTTTCATTACGTGGCTCACGAAATTTGAACAATTTTTTTCTCCATGAGGCATCAACCACTTCCTCAGTTTTAAACTAATGGAGCACAATCTCTTGAGACCTCAGAGGGCCAGAGCCATTTTCCACACTAATGTCCATTAACCAATCCTTTTACACACCCACTTTCCTGTCTCTTATGCCTGTTGTATAGCACTGTTGTAGAAGAACAAAGATTCTGTACATCACAGACATCCTGTGTGCTGTCAATATGAAGATATTAGCCTCAAAATAGGGCAATAGCCAATTCTATTCATTTACATACTTACTAAGAGTATATTATGTTTTGCAATTTACTCTAAAAAATTAATTTTATGATACTGGGGTCTAGGGTACAATGAATAAGAGGTTTTTTTAAGTACTGAAATACTTTACATAGAGAAATTAACAGACAGGTCTAGAAGTTTTTTGACAAGATGTTCAAGTAGCACAAAGACAGTCATCTCACTAAATGTTATTTTGTAAAAGCATCTAACTTGCAACGTTTAAAAATAAAAGCATAACATCGGGTAAATACTTAGGAAAGCAATAAAAAAGTAATTTATGGACGCGGAAAAACCTACCAAAGAGCTGAATAATTAAGCAAACGGGAATGCCGAGCGCTCCCCCCCGCTCCCCCAGCCCAGGCCTGCACGGAGGGGCTCTGCAGGGCGCTGCGAGCGCACTCCGAGGCCTGCAACGGCTGCCCGGACCACATGCTCGCCATTAGGGCTGCGGAGGAATCCAGCCATCAGATCAATTTATGGCAACTGTGGAAAGCCGGCCAGATGTGTTCTGATGGATAAGCTCCTCTTAAGATGCATCTGAGTCACCTCAGGCTCTCTGAGCTCATGAGGAAAGTATTTAGTGCACTTAAATAGTGATTTAAGAAATGAATCTCTAGAGACCTAGCAGTTACATTTTTTATTGAGAATTCTCTTGCAGGATAATCTGACCTACTATCTCCTTGTGTCAATAACACATTCGTATTTAAATCATTTGCCTTTAAGGAGGACTTGAGTGTTCAGGCCGGCTGGCTGGCTCCCTCGGGGAGAGGCCAGAGGCTGCGCAGGGGTCGCGCTGCCCAGGGCCGCTCCACCCTGCCTGGTCTGCGCAGTGCTGCTTGGAAGGAGCGGGTAGAGCAGAGGATGCCTTGCAAGGAGTAGATATAATCTGTTTTTCTGAATGACATATAATATTAAATAATGACATTGTAATGTTATATTTTTATAATAAAACACACCACAAAATTCAAGACAGACGAAAATGCATTATTTCCTGCTTTAAAGATACAAAAAGCCTAAACATCAGTAGGACTTCAGAGAGGGCCATTGCCACTTTCCCACGCTAATGTCCAGTAACCGATCCTTTTACACACCCATTTTCCTGCCTCTTATAGCTAATGTCTAGAATAAGGTATGAACACCAGTATGTTATTGTGTCAATGAGCAAAGTTTACAGCCGTAATGGATGGACACGTGTGCGGGTCTCGTGTTGCCGGGCATCTGTGGCACGGTGCCTGGACTAGTGGAGACAGGAAATGCCCGGCTTTTCCCTTCCTGTTTCCTTAACACGTACACATTTGATCAAATGTCAAATCAGTTTTACGGGCAGCACAGGTAATTGTTTGTTGTGGATTGGCTATTTTACACATCAGCTATAAAGGCACAGTGACTTTTGAAGTGTTGTAACAGCCGCAGCCCTGAGATGCGGTTACCCACGGCTAATGCTGCCGGGCAAAGGCTTCGCAGGAGAGTGCAGGGTACACTTTGCGAAAACCCGTCAGGGTCATGTCATCAAAGTCACACTAGCATAAGCAAACCAAGCTACCTTTGGACTCACTTCTAAATTCAGAAGGTATAATTAGCTACATTTTCCACCGCACCCCCACCCCCCCCCCCCCTGTCCCTGAGCCCGTCTGAACAGCGGCTTTCCCCGCCTGCCTCGCGTCTGCTGGGGCATCACAGCCTCCCTAAGGACGAGGCATCACGACTCTGCCTTGCAAGCTGATTTTTCACATTTGTCTATTAGCATTATAATTGGTGATTCCCTGCCACTTTCTTAAGACATGACTAACATAAAAGAAAAACTGCCCGTGTTTAATCATAAAGTAAACTCTGAGTTCCCAGAGTATGTGAACTCTCGGAATAAAATCTTGTATATCAATAGGAACAATGACAAACATTTAAAAACACACATACTAAAATTCTCTAGCTAAATGGCACCAGATTCTTCCTTCATTTTTTTCTAAGTCTAGTTACTCAGGTGATTGCAATGTCATTAATTATCCAGTCACTTTTTTCTCCACCACCCAATAACTGTGGTAACCCTTTGACATTAGAGAGTGTCATGCCCTATACCACTTATTTGGACAATACGAGGAATAATCTAATCTCTACAAACAAAAACTGAATATCTCGTTTGTAAGGTTATTTCATACATTGTCTATGCCTTACATCAGAACCAGTCTTTGCCACAGTCCCATCAACGTATTTTGAAAGGATAAATATGTCTGTCTTAATATCTGTTCATGAAACATGAAGCTAGATTTGGAGCTATTTAAGGTGTAATGTCCCTTATTTTTTCCTTTCTATTCCAAAATCTATCACATCACACCTAATTGACACAATCTGTTACATTTCATTTCATTACCAAGTTCATTCCATAAAATTGAATACACCTTCTGCAGTGGTTTTGAACTTTGTTTTAAACAGATTCTCACTCATATATGTTGGACCTGAATTTGTTTTGAGACGTGCAGATTCACCATTTAAACCTTCTGGTTTTCAGCTAAGGAGCTTCATGAAGAGCTATGACGGTGTGGCCGCTGCCTCCTTCTCTCGGGCCGTGGAGACTGTGGAAGCCAACGTGCGCTGGAAAATGCTGTATCAAGATGAGCTTTTCCAGTGGTTAGGAAAAGCTCTGAGACATTAGCATGTGTCTCTTACAAACAATTCAATTCAGAATTTTGAGAGAAGACCTGCTTTATGTGGAATGAGGAAAATGTTTTACATGGAAAATGGCCAAATTTTCAGTGTTAACATGTGGGAGGAATTTTCTTTCTTTCTTTCTTTCTTTTTTTTTTTTTTTTTTTTTGGTTTTGAGAGATGTGTTTTGTTGCATTCATTCTGTTTTGTTTCTCTATTGGGTGTTCTTCTCTAAGAACTCTTGCAAAAAGCTAAACTGTCCGTGAGCGCTTCAGCCGTATACTCCCTGCCATACGGGATCGGCTGGGAGAGTGATGCATGTCCACGTTCAGTCCTTTGGAAAAACATATTCAGAATATTCTGTGCATGGATGCACGGTCCTGCCTGTGTTTCAGCATGCTTGTTTAAAATGTCCAATGTTGTATGTGAGTATATGTTACACCCAGGACGGTCATTATGCAAAGCACAAAAATTTTATATGACAATCAGTATTGCAATGGAAGAAAGACTGAAAGGGGAATCAGTCTTGGCAACGTGAGAGGTAAGGTAGCTCTTTAAGTGATCACTGTCACTGAGTTCAGCACTTGGATGGTCTGGCGATGGTTAACGTGTTGCCACTCCTTTTCCTCGAGCTGAAGCTGGGTATCCATGTAAACAGGTGTATGGATAGTGTATGCAGATGTACATGTACCAAGGGAAGCCCTGTGTGTATAGAGTGTGTTGCACACGTGCAAAGAATCGCTTCAGATCAAAGAAAATTTATCTTTTTTTATAAACGTATGAACACTTGAAAAAAGCTTAAAAGAATTTATCTCAGTTCTCAACTGTTGTGAATTTTCTATCTACTTCTTGAGTATTGGTCTCTTCTAGTACATGAAGATGAATTCAGACAAACCCCATGTGTGAACGGACCACCCTTCTGGTTCTCCTAAGGAGAATCCTTGCATATAGATTGTGTTATCATTTTTGGTCCAACTTTCTATTGCATGAAATAATTGTGTAAACTTCTAATGATCAGTGCTGAGAAAGTGTTTATTTTCCCTTTGTTTTCCCATCTTACTTTGGGTAGTCCAAAGAGTTACGAATTCTCTATGTATTGGTCTTTCTGTGTTGCTCTAGTCCTCAATTTAGCAGCCATACCTCAACTTGGAATTTTAGCATTTAGTGACCCTTGATGATAGTTGTGCCATCCTTTAAGATGAAAAATTACTTTACTTGTGCTCATGTACAGAGCTTTTCTTTAGGAATTGGCACCTCTACCCTACCTGAGAATTCTGAACAGCCATTTTCATAGCTGTGCGTTGGGTAACAGAAATGTTTTTAAATGGTATTCTCACCCAGTAGGCCAGCTCTTCACACATGGCTTAAATGAATTAAAGTTAATATGTTTTAAGTTTACCATCATAAATTATCAATACAACTACTCTACACAAGCCAAATGTTTGTGGAACAATTCCTATCTTCCTGAGGTTTTCCATTTTCCCAAATCTTGCTATTCACTGAAACAACCGTATTCTAACACTAATAGTCATTGAATGCTGAAAAATAGAGATTTTAGAAACTGGAGCCATAGAATTATTTTAAATTGTAGAAAAGGGGCACAATTTCCTAATCCATAGAATAAGTACCACCTAAAATTGAATTTTATCATTTAAGTAATTAAACGCCCGAATTAAAGACCTGAATTTTTCAGCACTTCATTCAATTAGAATGCATTAATTTTAAATATTCTGTGTGGTGTTACTAAGATGCAGTGCTTAACATAAAATCTAAAAGTTATCCCACCTATCAGAAGGGATAAAAACCACGTCAATACATCACATTTATGAAATCCTTGATTAAAGGGAAAGGTTCTGAAAGTTCATCACAGTAGTAAATATCACGCCTCTGGGCAGGTGCCAAACGTGCTTTATTACCACCGAAGTCACACAATAGGAAAGATAAAACGTTAGAGGTACGTGTCTTGTTTTGTGTCATGAATTACTGAAAATCTTTAGTAATTGTGGCTTTTTTTTTGAAGAAAATTACCATTTCTAGATTTGAGTTAGAAACAGTTTTAGAGCTCACTTTTCCTCCCCACTGTTAATAATTGTAATCCTCTGTGAGTATCTTAGTGGCCTTGAGCAACTAGTTTAGCTACAATATCAAATCCTAAGTATATAATTATGTGCAATGTTCAATACCTCATATAATATTTGTTCAAAAGTATAGTGATATCGATGACATTGAGATGACATTTTTGTTCTTCATATTTTTAAGTAAATTTATTCTTTCCAATGTTGAAATTACCTTTAACATTTTTTAGTTGTTGAAATAAGTAATATTTTCAAATAATAAAATAACCAATGATATCTCTTGGAATCTTCTGTAAAATGTAGTTATAAAATTCTATTTTCTACTTAGAGTTTTTAATATTTTCTCTTTTCTTTGTCTGTTTGTATGCATGAAATAACAAATTGTTGGAAACGTCCGACATGCAGTCATAAAAATGTAGAATCCCAATATTTGTACAAAAGCAAAACTTGGATTCGATTAGAAAAGAATCCTTTATTTACCACACTGGGTATTAAAACATCTCCAGGTAACTTGTAAATAAAAAAGTTTCCCCATTTTTACAAACTTTCCTTAAAACCTTCTTATAATCTTTGAAGTTTTTAAAATCTGTAATCTCAACCTTTAATGCTAAGCCTTTAGGTTACAATCTTTAGATAGCGTTTACAATGCTAGGTCTGGTATTTAGTTTTAGTGGTACATAATTTAGCTGGGCCTTAAACTCACGTTGGTTTTTGTTGTTTCTAGGAAAATTATATCACAGGACTCAGATTTTTCTCATAGTATGATTTGTAAATGTCATAATTATAATATCTTACAAAGTTATTAAAGTTATGCCATGCATTTATAAAGTGTATTTCATTTTCAGAAAACTTTTACATATTTTATTTGACTAATCACAAAAATAAAGTAAATGTGTTTGTGGAAGGTGAAGATGAATAAAACCCTAAGGAATTTGCATCACGAGAGATGATGAAAAAAAAACATTAAGGAATAATGGATGGGTCAGAATAAGGACAACATGAAGCATAATTATGCAGCACAGAGAGGAAATGAATCATTTTTAAATATAGATAATATTATGCAACTATTTTTATACACTAGTTCCCAAAACTTTTTTGGTATCTAGTATAATTTTCATTGTTTTATTTCACAGCAATTTCTGTAGTTGTATTTTACAGAAATATATATATATATAAAAGAAAAATTTTGAAATTATAATCAAATCATGTAGTTTAAACTATAAGAATTGGAATATAATTTATCCTTAAGAAAAGCTGTTTGATCCATTTAGTAGTATCAGTGACTTGCAGGAAAACTGTGTAGTCTACTCATGAAAAAAATAAAGCAAGTTTTCTAAAATGGTTTTAGCATACTATTTGTATATTTACAATGTATTGATTTTAAGTTAATTATATATATTTTTAAAACAGATCCAGTGATATTTATCCTAGGCAATAATTTATTTGTTCAAATTTATTTGTTCAGTACATGTAAACTTGTAAATTTTAGAATTCCAAATTTTAATTATAGAAGAGTAGCCTTAGTTCAATTGCTTTGAATTAATGAGGAATATTTTTAAACGTGAAATATTTTGTTTAATATGACATAGTTTCAGGAAAACTCTAAAAATGTACTCTTATAGTTTTTATTTTAGATTTCATTTGTTTAGTAAAGTAAGTTTTAAACCTCTTAAATATTTAATAAAAGCAGTTGTTAAAGATATATGTTCTAATGTTAAATATTCCACATATGAGCCATGGCATGCGTTTTATTTTTAAGATGTGCTTTTCATAAACTGCTCCTACTAGTGGACAGTATGATTTTATCCCGGACTTTGAAAACATAGACTTGACTGGCTTTGTCTGGGATATTTAGAACCGTAAAGAAGGGAACTTGGGAAGTATTATCTCTGGATGTGCTTCACGTGTTAATGCACTAAGAAAAATGAAAAACAGAACGGCTACTTTATTTTATTCCCCGTTAAATTTTTTGTGTCATATTAATGTTAAATGAGTTAGGATCTAGCAAAGAATAAAAAAATTTGAATGTCTGCTAAATGCTAAGCAATTTATAGGTATCACGTCAATTAACAACCCTGTGAAATATCATTAGATCTAATTTATCAATGAATAGACTGAGGCTGCGTTCTTACCAGTTTACATAATTATTACTAATTAGTGGTATTAGCTGGGACTCAAAGCTTTACATGGCTCAAATTAGTCATTAGTCTGCCTCCAGCATGAATAAAGACTCTGCAGACTGGTCTATATACAAAAGATTTGAATATTTAGTCTGCTTCATCATCATCCTTGGGTCATTTGAAAGAAATGTTAATTATCGCCTTTTGGTTTCCCACTCATTTCTTAACACAGTTGCTTCCTGCATTCTGTAAAAGGTTTCCATTCAAATGCTTTACATTAGTGTGTTGTGTAGTGGGTTAGAAGCTGCCAACGAGTCATGACAAATAAGTGGGTAAAAAAGAGGATGGATTGCAGGACTTTTCACCGGTGGGCCACAAAGACAAGGTTAAAATTCTGTCTTTGCATGTGGAGAGGAAAAATTAGTCTAGCCAGACCTTGGCTTTTGCTTAGCAATGAGGTCAGTGAAGAATTTCTCTTTTTCTGCTTAGAACTGCAGATGGACAGCAATGGCTTAGTGCCCTTGAAGGTCCATCTTTAATGGACCTCCTCTGTATAGATACAAGCTAAGATAATGGCTTTGGCTCACCTCTGCACAGGCATACTTTCTTCTGATCATACTTTTTTTTAATGTCATGTAAGTGGATGAAAAAGTGAAACATTTTATAGAAAATATGACAGTGGAGTTAAGCACCTCTGTCTTGAATGTACAGTGCATTTATTTATTCAGGTTAATCACATAATAGCTACCCTTTTCATCCTTGCTGGGTTCATAGGATTGCACTTGCTCTTGTTCACAATTCTGTTCCCACCTCTACGTAACTGATGACCTACTGGGTGAGAACGTTCATTATAAAGTTTTTGTATTCATTTTCATTTAAAATAAGGTTATTAACTGCCATTTCTCAAGTACAAAATATTTTTTCAAAGGAATTTCTCCTCAGATGTATTCTACTTTTAAAAATATTGTATAATAGCAATTT